TGTAAGGTGTGCGGTAAAGGATTCCGGCAGGCCAGCACGCTGTGCAGACACAAGATCATCCACACGCAGGTGAGACACTGTTCCACTGTGACCTTTCCAGCTTTTTGACTTGACTTTGTTTGAATTATTTTCTCTCATTTTGACCTGTAAGGAAAAGCCTCACAAATGCAACCAGTGTGGAAAAGCGTTCAACAGAAGTTCGACGCTCAACACTCACGTCCGGATCCACGCAGGCTATAAACCGTTTGTGTGCGAGTTCTGCGGGAAAGGCTTCCACCAGAAAGGTAAATACTGGGCGCTGGTGTCCTCTTTAATCAGCTGTATTATATTACTGACTGGAAATTGTATCCTGATTTCCTATTTTCAACACTGCGGTGATTCAGAGTGTTTATGTGCAAACGAACAAAAAGCTTTCTCTTCAGCTCCTGTTATTATTCCACGAATTTATTTCATGAAATCTGCTGCCGTGCAGCCGAGTCATTATTTTGCTGGGTTGAGCAGTCAGCTTTTAGAAATCCACAACTCGGTGGAGAACTTCCTCAATAAGAGGAGACGTGATTGAAATAATTGCTACTGATGGACTCTTTAATTGTGCTGGATGCTGTTTAACATCACATTGTTTAGAATAGAATAAAATAATCATTTATTGTCATCTACAACGAAATTGTGGCTTCTCAACTTGACTACTGACGAAAAATATAAATACGAAAAATACATTTTATTTTATTTTATTGTTTTTGTTAAGCTGGACTTGAGATTTGGAGCATAAATGCACTAATAATTTTCTAGCATTATGCACGAAGATTCCGATTATTTTGCCCGCTCAATATTGCGGAAGATCGCAGCCGAGCAGAGCTCTTTATGCAGACTCGCTGGAGTTCGTGTGGCGAAATCGGCGCTCATCCTCAACATTTGGCGCTGCCGACATAAATAACATCTGCGGTAAAAGCAGAACAAGCTTATATTTGAAGTAGTCAAAGGGGAAATAACTGTGGGCTCACCGATGAGCATGAATCGGTGGGTGGAGATGAGACTTGTCACTTTACACGGACTAATTCTACCTTCGAGACTGTCGCATTTTCCGCGGGTCATTAGTCAGACCCCGGCAAAGTTGGAAACCGGCCTCCTTTAGTTGCGGCTGCGCTTGATTTTGACAAAGTTTGACAACTTTTTGACTTCGGCACACAAAAAGCCGATTAATGAAGGCTGTGGGTGGAGGCGGCTCCAGCTGAACTGCTGGTGGAAAAAAGAAAGATCGCAGTTGTAAAACGCTTCCCTCTCTGCTTTGCTTTTTTTTAACGTGTAGATGTTTCGCAGAAAGTTACATTCAAATTTTGTTCAAGCGGTTTTATTTTTCAGATTCTCTTGATTAAATTATTTTCTTTGGCCAGGTTGGAGTGAAATGTTTAGCTGTGTAATTTCAGGATAAATTCAATTAACTCAGACCAGGCGGATTTTTTAAAATGAATCCAAGTTCCCCTGAAGCTGACTCTCCTCGGCTCTGACGGGCTCATCAGCGCATCAGCTCTGATATTAGAAGCCGCGAAATCTACGATATTTCTGAGGTATTTGGTGCATTTTTTATCCCCTTTTTCTATTTTCTAATACTGGTTTTAGGCCGTTTTATACGAGAGGAAGGAAAAGCTGGTTATGGTCACACGACTGGTTTTCACACAGACAGATGCACTTTTTTCGTTTGACCTGGAGTTGTTTCTATTGACACTCACACATCAGCGAGACGTGAAAGTTTGATTTCGTGCTGCGAAAAGGCCACGGGTTAAATAAGGAGATGTTAAAAGGGTGGCAAAAATTCTAATGTCACACATTTCCCCCTTTGAATCTTTTTTTTAACTCCTTCTCAGAAGAATTGTGAAGACAAAGAGAAAAGACTGTGTTTTAATTCATATACTCTTATTTCGCAGGAAACTACAAGAACCACAAGCTGACGCACAGCGGGGAGAAACAGTACAAGTGCTCCATCTGCAATAAGGCCTTCCACCAGATCTACAATCTGACCTTCCACATGCACACACACAACGACAAGAAGCCCTTCACCTGCGCCACTTGTGGCAAAGGCTTCTGCCGCAACTTCGACCTGAAGAAGCACATCAGGAAGCTGCACGACAATGGCTTCTCGGCGGCTTCAGAAGCCTCCAGAGAGCTGCAGAGCTGAGCCATTGCTCGTTTCCTGCTATGACTTTTTAGCAGTTTTTAAGGTCTGACAAGGAAGTGAGGGAGTTCAAAAAACTGGACCCGAATCTTTGAAAAGAAATGAGGTAATCGGCTCCCGTCAGTGTCTCAGCAGGAACGCTGCAGCGAACAAAAAACAGACAACATCCGCCCAACACTGTCGGGATGTTTTGGGTCCACAGAGAATTTCTTTCTGCATTTCCACAGACTGAAAGAGAAACCCCCTGTGTCCACGATGGAACTGTAAATAACGATAATAATAATCATAATAATAATAACGTGAATCATCTGGGGAATGCATTGCCATGTTGTTTATTTCATTGAAAAACTGTTCCTGTGAATAAATAAGTTAAATTATATTGAAACTGAATGTCTGAGCCATGTTTGCATTTTGAAAGTATTTGAAAATAAAACAATTATATGATCAAAGTTTATTCTGAAACACTTTGTAACGTGCAAATATCACATTTAGACAGCACACACGTGCCCGCGAGAAAAAGCACGTGAATGAAAACGGAGAAGGCCGCGAGACACGAACAACCAAAGTGACAAACTATATGAAGGAACTAAAACCAACGACGTTTGGAAATATAGTGGAAAAACTAACAACCTAAAAATAAAAACAGCGAAAAAGTCTGTTTTTTAAAAAAAATTTTTTATCTTTAATTAATTCTATCTGTTACATTTTCCAGTAAATGTAAACTGGGAGGCACGCGTGCACGAGCGCAGACGGTACTGGTATTTTGGAGCGCGGGTACTGTATGCTCTGCGGCCACTTTTATTCAACATTTACTGACAGACACGATCTTAATAATACTGCATTTACACTTGACTCTGGCTTAATGGCACAAATGATCAGATATAACACGAGGCTCTTGAAAGCGAATTACATTAAGCAGCTAAACAGCCTCGGGAGAAGGAGCGGTGGGGGTGGGGGCCGCGCCGTCATCCGGAGCCGCTCATCAGAACAGGAGATAATGGAGCACTCGGGCCGCAGCTCCTTATCTGGGCCTCCGCGTTAATAGAGCTCAAGTTATTCTCCGCACGGCTTCTGGAACAATATTATCCCTGCACACATTCTGTCAAGAGGCCGATCCGTGCTCCCAAATGGCGCTCATTTCATTAACAGCCAATTAGCGCTCACCCGGGTCGGCCAGGCCCTCAGAAGCTTGGCAGGGCTAATATTAGCAGATGAATGCCCCGCTCACCTTTTTCATCAGTGTGCACCAGACATCTGCAGGAAAATCCAGCCAGTGCGCTCAAACAGACTGTATAAAGGGCTCTGTGCTGATGTGCCGATAACACAAACACTTAAACCAGATGATCGTTTAGTTATTACAAGAATTATTAGGAAATAACTAAAATAGACCTATTTTAGGTCTTCAGTCGATGCATGTGAGCAGAATTTTCCATCAAATCGCGAATACTTATCCTGTCAGAGGAGTAAAGTCGATGTTTTTGTAATCATGTGGCATTTGTGCGTCACGCGCCACCTCTCAAACAATGGGAACACTGCTCAAATAATAACTTGTCACTTTATTTCCTGTTTCAAGAGTGGGAGAAAGGTGTTTGTGTCCTACGTGCCGATAAACGACAAAGACTCGCAGATCCAATACTTGAAAGATGACCTCGGTGCGCGCCTTCTCCATGCGTGCACGAGCATCCAGCAAACGGAATACTGTTACATCGGGCAGAGTGATAGGATCTGTGTGAGAGGCAGGTTGTGTCTTTTACCAACGCAATGCGTGTGGTCACACACGCGCGCGCACCGACACACACAGGGTCTACAGGCTGTAGGACTGAACAACGTCTGCTCAGTAAATAACCTAAAGGCAGGTTGGCCTTTTCTCCGCACTTTTTCTTTTTTCTCCAGCATCTGAGCAACCGCCTCAACATCCACAAACACGTTAACTGGCTGGTGCGCGGGAGCTTTAATTAAGGCGCGCCCACGCGCAGCAGATTAAAGGGTTTTTTTTCCTTTCTGGGGTGGAGCGCTAATCAGTTGTCAACAACATGAGGACATCTTTCTTTTTGCTCTCTCCACCACCGGGGGATCGCTGGGGGATTCAGGCAATTTACGGACTACAAAGGAGCTCGTCTGAGACAGGAAGAGAAGAAAAGCAAGAGGCGGACTTTTTGTCTGTCCCAGTGAACTGATTGTAAATGGGAGATTAGCGGGGAAGCTTCGCCAGTCCAGCAAGTGCCCGATCGAGGAGGAAGGAGAGAAAAAGACCAATTAAGTCTACCAAATGTTAACTTACATCAGTTTCCCCCCAGTTTAGCCCACATGAAATTCCAATTAAAGCGTCCCGGTAGCAGCTTTTTTCTTTCAAAGAAGGCGGAGGGGTTAGAGTGCTTGTGTCACTCTAGCCAGGGGACAACGTTCCCACAATATCTGAGACAGGAGCTTGTTAAAGTAATACAAGGGCAATATGCAATGTTAAAAAACCGCTAAATACCACGACTAACACCACAACAACTGACGGAGGATGGTGATGGAAATGAAAACACAGTCAAACAAGATTTAATCTAACAGCTGACTGTGTGTACTCTTCACTGAGCATTTGAGTGAATAACGTTTTAATCAACTTGTCTTTATCATGCCTATGTAACCTAAGTCAGCTAGATTTATAGTTTATATAATGTGAGCATTAAATTGAATTCACAAAGGCGAATTGCAGAAAACACATTTTTCACAGCCAGTCAAAACCAGCCTACAGTGCATGTTTGTTGGATATTCAGTAAGACTAACAGTAAATGAAATAAACAAGAAAAATATAAAAGGAGATTAGACATCAAAATGCTATATCAGAAGTAGTTCTGCCCTGTTATGGCCATCTCTCCCTTAGCCTGCTTCTGCTCGGTTGTTCTTCCTGTTAAATGGGAGTTTTTCTTTCCCACTGTTGCCTTGCTCGTTGCGTTTGATTTATACTGTAAGCATTAAAATATAAAGCACAGTGAAGCGGCTGTTGTGATTTGGTGCATTTGCTTTTCCACGAGCACATTCAAAGTTTATACTAAGTTTGTGCTTAGAAAGGCTGGGGCCGCTTTGTGACGTTGCTAAGACGCCTTGCCGCCCCACCCCTCGTTAGTGAACCACTAGCCCTTTGAGACCATGAGCTTCCATTGTAAAGTACTGAGGGTTAATGAGCACTGGTTTCTCTTCAGTGTGTAGCTGTGCAATCAAAGGAAACAGAGATACTGACATGAGATGTTTAAAAACAACATTATTGTACATTTCTCATAAAGGAGCTAGTCTAACATTGTGTTTTCGGAAGAAAATGCTCTGATTTGGTTAAAAAAAATACCAGAAATGCCGAACTTGCTTTTCCAAAGACCAAAAAGTCCAAGATGATGGATAGAAATGAGCCACTCAAGATGCAGTGAACACAGCATTCACTCACACCTCATTCAGATTCTTTTACAGTCATCCCAGAACCTTCCTCCACCAAAACCTCCTCAGAGTGTCTTAAGGACAGCAGTGAGGAGCCTGTCCCTTGGATATGCCTGCTCATCTGCTTTGGCCTGTCAAGGGCATGGCAGGCTGAGAGGATGTGTTTTGTGGCTGGGAGGGAAGCGTGGGCTGCTGGGAACTGAGCAGTGAGGGAGCTCTCATCACTGATTTGTTGTCAGACTCCATCCTCTGACCTCCATCCGTCTGTCCATCCGTGCAGCTCTGCAGCTCAGGAGCTGCGGGGGAACCTGGACGAGGTGAAGCTTCAGGTTTCTCTTAGTCAGTGTCTGAATTTAGTTATTTTTATTGTTTCACCAATTTTAGGACAAAACACACACAACATCAAGTATTCACTGCTTTAATGCCACATTTGTTTCTTCAAAGTATAAAATCAGGTAATTGCTTACAGGGCATAACTTTGTGCTGTGTGCGTTTGTTATGTTGTGTTTAATCAAACCACTTTCATTTTCTCAGAACATGACGAGCAGTAAGAATTCGCTTGTTTTCTAATTATTATGTTTTTAAACATTCAGATGTCAAAGTCTGAATGATTTGGCGCTATATAAATAAAACATATTACTAAATCGATGTGACTAATGGCATGAACAAAAGATAACTTTTCAACTACTTTGGTAAAGATTTTTCCAAATCACTGTGATTAGTTTGAGTTTCGTGTTGAACGTTCCCACATTAATTCACTTTTTCCTGCTAAAGTGAGTGAGCTGCACAATTGTGATGCATGTTTTTCACCCACACACACAGCAGCTGCACGTGGGTCTTTTTCCTATTCATGGATTTGTATGTTAGGTCAAACAGCTGGCTATGATAGCCAAAGCGAAACAACACAGTAACCTTAAATGGCCAAGTGAGGCTAGTTTCAAAAGTGAACAAGTGTCCAGCTTTACAGCAGAACTGAACATAGAGCCCACATCTTTTGGATTTTGACTACTTTTCTTTTTCAAAGTGGTGATTTTTTAAAATATAATTTACCAGATTAAACTGTATTAAGTTCTGCATTTTTAAGTGTAATTGCAGTGTTATCATGTTCTGTGTTTGATTGGACATAAAGATGTCTCATTCAGACTGTTTTACTACACTCGAGTACTTTCTATCTAGCAGAACACGGATCAAACCAGCAACCTTCTGATTACTGGGTTTCCAACACTATTACCCCTCCTCTGTTCCAAATCAAAAGATCACGTTTGTTTGATTGTTTGTAGAATGGGAGCTTGCATTATGAATGTCATGTGAGTGTATGATGTCATCATGGATCACAATATCTGAGGACGTTTCCACCACCTGTTTGACTCAATGCCACGAAGAATTAAAGTACGCAAAAGGAGCTCCTATATTGTTCTAGCTAAGCTTACCTACTAAGACAATCAGGGAGTGTTTATTACAATAAAAAGTACAAACATGTCTGGGGCAGACATTGTGGTATCTGGGTGCTGTAGAGAATTCACTACAGCAGAGAGATGGATATTGGACTCTGCAACAAAGTCAAACACTGAAACTATGTTACAGTAAAAAAACTAAAACTAAAGATGTCCATAAAATAGTGAAGACAAGATAAAAAAAACTGCACTCTTTGTCCAGCGAATTATGAGCCAATTAACTGAATGAGTCGTTTTCTCCATCATGCACTGGTGTTACTGAGCAGTGTGCCACCGTTGGGAAAGATCAGTTGATTTAGGGATGTCCGGTGTCTCAGCTATTCCTTTTGAGCTGACCTGCTAGGAAATGTCCAGTCCTCCTTTATTTCAGGTTAATGATGAACTACTCTTCTAGCAACGTTTAACGATCCCGTGAAATGAATTAAACAGTTCATGTTCACACAGACGCACAAACTCACATCTAGTCTAGAGCAGTTGCAGTCTTGCTTCTTTCTTGTGGAGTGTCCTAGAAGAAACACTGTATTTCTTGTGTTTGCTTACTGTTTAGCATTTTGCTACACAAAGCCTCTAAATCAG